GGACATATTTTAAATTGTCCCTTGCCAGCTAAGCCATATATTAAATTATAAATGCCTGTGAGTGTAGTATACAAAAGTAGAACACACAAAATGTATGTTCTCGCCATTTATGACCATTTAATACCAGACATAAATGTCTAAAATATGTCTGTCAACATTTTTCAATATTTCTCTGTGCTGACTGATTTATTTCATGTTCCTTAAACGTCGCTTAACCAAAACCTAAATTAGTCAGCGCAGCGATCATTCATCCCAGCCACAAGTTTATGGTTATTCCACAAACCAGGAACTCCATCACTGTTTAGTGGATGAGCACAGACAGACAGATGTGGCATCTCCAGAAATTTTGTTTTAAATGTTTCAGCTGAAGCTTTGGGAAGCTCAGACAGGTTTTTTTTCTACATTTCTTGGGTGCTGTGGCCAAAGCAGCTTAAGAGTGTGCTTTTTTTTACTTTTTTTTTTAAGAACTTCTGGTTTCCCATCTTGGACAAATGTCCAAGAAAACTATTTGTATGTTTGTGGCAACAGAGTGATGGAAGTTGAGACACTGATATTGAAATATCCTCATCAGCTGTAACTTGTCTTGTACCAGCTAAGTGGACTCAATCTGACCACTGAAGCAGGCTGTGTTCCAGCATGACATGGGAGTGTGAGGAAAGCACAGGAGTACCTTACTTAACTGGATAACATGAGTGAATTACACAGCATGTAATGCAGGCATATGGTTGGTACAATGCTATGGTATCATGGTTGTTATTACCTTGTGGTAGACCTCTTGCAGAGAGCTCTGTGCTCCCTCAGATGCAGAACCGATGGCCCGAGCATCACACTGCACAAAGGTTCCTGATGGGTCCATGTGATACCTGTATTACACACACACACACAAAACGATACATGTGTTTAAGCAAAGCAAGCAAATATCCCTTAAATTTTAAAATAATAAACAATTATCTTGACATACAGCTGAGGTCCTTTTTCATCAACTCCCCCAAACAGAAGCGCTACACCAAAAGGTCGACTCTGTTTAAAACAAAGCAAAGACACAAATAAAAGTTAAACATCAAACTTTTTTAGGTCTGCATCTCAAAATAAAAGCACAAACACTGGCTGAGTGACTCACCATGGCACCAGGGTCTGCATCTTCCTCACCAAACTGCAGCGCCAGGTTGGACACAGCCTGAGTCACACTCTCCACTGTCATCGTCTCATTGTAAGTGAACCAGTGGTTCTGAAACAGAGCACATACAGGTTAACCGCAGATAAACACAGCACTCTAAATATGCCTTATACAGCGCTGTGCTCTGAAATCATACCTGTGTTTCCACTCTTGCTTTGTCGATAAGAGTTTTGGCATCAGCTATCAAGCCGCTCATGGCACAGCCTAAGACGTGAAAAGAAAGAAAACTAAAAACCTGCATTTATCTTTCACAAGCTGTGGCCTAAAGCAAGACTCTTCACCATCAATGTGAGACAAACGAGAACAAATTTTCTGCTTTACAGTCTTGCAAAGGGACCAATTAATAAAGAGACGACGCTTTCAAAAATAATTTCATTAACAGCTTTAATTTGGTCTATATTGTCACACAAACTATATCAGCCAAAAAACTAAATCTAATAATATTTAGTTTAAGCAATGCTTGCTTGGTTGTTTCAATCTATTGATCTAGACAGTTTCAGTTGCTTTTGTCCACGTTTCTCTTTTTGTAAGGGAATAAAGGTTTTTTGAAAATTGAAGTGTACATTCAATTAATAATAATATTTTATGGGCTAAAAAGAAAATAATAAATATTTTTGCTTTTCTTTTTCTTTAACAATATTGCACTGGATATCTGTGTAAAAAACAAAAACAATAACATGCATTTCAAGTCCAATTTTAATCAAAGAATCAATTAACTGGTTTAGCTGACTGGATATCTTATCTCATTACAAAAAACAGCCAGTAATATTATGTCAACAAAAGCCTTAATCCTTTGTCATGGTCCATTTCCACTTACCAATGTGACTATCAATCTCCACGATCTTCTCAATGCTGTTGGGCTCCATCAGGGGAGAGGTGATCCTCTTCTCCACAGCCAGACATACCCCTTCTGATGTCTGGATACCGATGGCTGTGGAGCCCAACTAGAAGAGCAAAGCCAGGCCAAAGAAAATAGATGAGCTTGAATATAATCACTTTGTTTAATAACCGTGCAGAAATGGTTAAAGATTCCTGTGAAGTACTCACTTTTATTGCCTCTATGGCATATTCAACCTGGAACAATCTTCCCTCAGGAGAAAATGTGTTCACACCTCTGGAAAACAGAAATTAATGTTTAGAAATTTTAACAACGATTAATATATTAAAGATAGCTGTAAACGTTATTTTTCACTATTATTATTTGCACGTCTATTCCCTCATAACAGTAAAGTAAATAAACACTCAGCTTGAAAAAGATGGCATACCGAAAGTGAAAGCAAACCAACTTTTTTCTAACATTGATTATTAGCTGCTAGCTGATACAAGCTGTAGAGACACCGTTACAATAAGGGTTTAACGAAATCAGTATTTTCTGTATTTTCTTTCGGCGTTTAACCGGGTTTTCGTTCTCGGGTAGACAATAAAACACCCGTGTGCTCTCGTTCGTTTGTTCATTTCCCTCTGTTAAGCGCTCAATAAATGACAAAGCAGTTTGTGCTGCACCTACCTGTCATATTCCGATCTGGTCAAAAACATCTTATAACGTTAAACGCAGGATCTAGAAAAAGATAGATGCGTTATTTGTGTAAGATTTCTGTACAGTACCAACAAGTTAAAGCAAATATTGAGAGCTGATTCTAGTTTTTGGTTTCAAGTTTGCTGTGACACCGGGTTATCTGCTAGCTGCAGTTAGCGGTGATACCGAGCAGGCGTGCTAGCTAACAGCGCAACCAATTACACAATTAACTGCATATTAGACACAAATATACATCAAACATCAAAATTCCATCAGTTTAACAATGTCCGGGGAAATATATGTGTACAATTTCCCAGTATTATTCAAAATAACTTCACTTGCTCGGCTCGTTTACCTTCAGCCAAAAACCCTTCAATGAGTTCGCTTGTTTCAGAGGAAGCGTTTGGTGTGTTACATCCAAACGCGCCGGTTGTTAGCAATTCCCTAACCAACGTTCCGCGTCTCCAAGTCAAAATATATTTCATTAAATTAACTTTATTTATGTACTCTGAATTTAAAAGCTTTTGATTTTGTGGTTGTTATTATTTGTTTTTACTTGTAAAATTCAAAACAAGAAAGCACATTATAATACTGGTATTTGTGAAAAATGAGGGAAAATAAAGCTGGGTAATGTTGCCTGAAAACACGATTTTCCTACAATCATAATTTTTCTTTTTGTCTGAAGACAAATTGTTAATGAAATTTACTGAAGACAAATAATTGTTCCAACTCGTGCAAGTCAGAATAACAAGAATACAACTTAACAAAAACAGACAAAAGTAATGATCATTGGTTCCATGCGTCTACGTACATGTATTATGCAACATTACACAGCAGACGAGTACAGTGTCCCATATGGTCTAGCGGTTAGGATTCCTGGTTTTCACCCAGGCGGCCCGGGTTCGACTCCCGGTATGGGAACGACTCTTTTGTGACGATGGGATTTTAATATCTTTCACGTGAATATCGAACTTGGCCTTCGTAGTAACAAAAAGGCACATCGGGCTCCAAGACATTGGTATAATTTACCAAATTATTGTGGCCGCTTGAGAGGGGAACCAACCGCTGGGTGTCGTCATTGAGCTGAATTAGAAGAAATGATGACCTGTTGATGTGTCTGATTTCTTCATCAGGTTGAATACCCCAAAATATAAAATATTTTGCCCGTATCGAGATTAGTCGTCGTTAAATTATCTGCTATGCTCTTGGAAATCATTGTTTGGCTGAGTGCTACTGGAAAAATAGTGTGGCTTTTGAAATGTGCTCTAATACGAATACCAATATGCCACCACTGCAAAAGTAATGATGTACAGCTATTAACACAACTTAGTGGAAAAGTAAGAGAATGAAATCTTTAAGTGTAAAAACAAATGTCTCTCTTGAGATTTTTTATTGTAGGCTAATTAGTCGGGGGTTTTGTGAGAGGAGGTTTACTTGGCGGTGTCGGGTTTCATTTCCCGGCTGATTTCAGTTCCGCTCGGTTCTGTTTTGGTTCTGTGGTGAAGCTCTAACTTAATGCTGTGGCAGCGAAGGTCTCTCCAAACTCTGAAATGTGACTAACCTTGACGGGTTGTTGTTGCGAACAGACAGGCTGGACGTATTTTCTCATACTCAGGGCGGACTGCCAGGTGCAGAACACTGACTTATCGGCTTAAAACTGAAAATATGAAAACCAAGCGGGACGACATCATTTTTCAGACTCTCCTCTTGATCCACAGTAAGTAGGCTGGAGTGAAGCACTGTTTTGCTTTTGTTGCAAGCGTGGATAGACTTTGCATTCGTGAGTTAAAGTATTTTAGAAGTTGGACTCAGCAATGGAGAACACTCTAAAGAAATTAAAAATATATTTTACTAAGTAACTTTTCCTCGTTTTTCCTTTTTTTCCTGAGGTGAAAGAACGTTTTAAAGATTTTTTAAAGATTTGTTTGTTTGTTTCTAGTGTCGTTAAGGTAGATTGATGTATTTGACCTTTCTGGGCTGATTTTAAAACCAGACTTCCGTCCACACTTACAACGCAGATACATTCTTCGGAGATGAGAAACACTGAGGGAGGGTTAATTTCAATCAGGCCTAACTGCACAGTACAAAAACAAAGCCCAAGAGGGTTTCCAGATAGCAATATATATTAGCTTACACCGGCAGTAAATTGCCTACACACACACACACACACACATAAATGCATTTTCAGATGCAGGGACCTACAGATTTGGTCTGAATACCTGTTTAAGTGATTAACCCGTTTGCTTATTTCTACTGTTTTTTTGTTTTGTTTTGTTTTGTTTTGTTTTTCAGTCCCTGTGGCCTGCTTCTTCACTGCAGGTAGGTTTCTCCTTGTGTGTGTGCACATGTGATCTATGTGTCCATGAGTACTAAAAATGCTACACCCTGTCTGTCCTTTGTCAGTGTCATGTCAGGCTGAGAGCAGCAGCGTGGTTGTGGCAGGTTATAATGTGAGCTCCCGTGCTGGTTCGAAGCTGGTGCTGCAGTGTGTGAGCAGCCGGATGGTGTGGACCAGGGACAGGGTGAGAGACAGGCAGAGGGTGATCCACTGGGATATGTACCGGGCTTATCCGGACTACGCCATGGAAAGGGTGGTGGACATGTTCTCGGCAGGAGAACAGAGGATGTACAACTCCTACAATCTGGGCAGGGTTGGTCTCAACCCGACAGCCTTCAAAGATGGAAACTTCTCCCTGGTTATCAAAGGTCACACACACATACAGACACATTCTGTTTTTGTCTTTCATGTGTAACTGTAACTAGCCAACATTACTTTGTTGGTGTATCTCACTGTGGCTTTGCTTGTTATGTTCTTATAACAAATATTTCAGATCACATATTAAGTATGTAGACAAATATTTTAAAAGAAAGGTGAATCATTGCCACTGAAATGCAGTTAAAATCAAAGACCATCTAGATATTTGTTAGGGTAGAAAGCGAAATGCATCCTGACACACTCCCCTCACAATCAGATATCATCCCCTTATCACCTCTCTTCCATGCAGAGGTATGGCTAAATTGCATCAGTGTGACCACTATACTGTTACAGGGCAACCATGTCTTCTAATAGAGGCAGTCGGTCTGGCTATGATTAAAGTCATTAAAGCTCTGTGTGGAATTCTTTCAAGTGATTTAGTTCGGTATTTGTCTCTGATTTCCTGTCAGTGCGCAATTGGTCCCCATTGCCACCCCATTACCCAAAACTAAAATGCCCAGTTTACATAGATTACCATCCAACACCAAATCTCAAACACAGAGTCAACAAGGGTTTCACAGATACCTAAATGCCACACAAAGGAATAAATATGAAGCCTCTATAAACTACATTACTTGATAATGAAAAAAAAACCCGCCATTAAATCTAAAAGGTTTTGGAAAAAGGTTTGCTTTAATATGAAGTTTGCACTTCTGTTTCCTAAGTGGCCATGCTTGATTTGCTGTACTTCTACATGTGATGACAGATGTGACGATGAATGACCGAGGTCTGTACTCCTGCAACCTCCACCATCTCTACTGCAACCTCTACGAGACAGTCAGAGTCCAACTCAATGTCACTAAATCACGTATGTATCACACTCTATCAGCTATCAGCATGTGAGCTGAAGTACATTAGTATTAATCCACAAACCCCTTTGACTTGTTTTTGCCACAAAGGCCGTAAAGAACAGCGATACTGGGATGGGCATAAGGCCGTGTACGTGGTGCTGCTTGGGAGCACTGCGGTGCTGCCGTGCATCAACCGACGTAGTGTGTGGACAGACTGGAGCGACGAGGAGGAGGATCAGCAGGTGGGTCTACTTGTTTCCTGAGACAGATCAAGAGCTAAGATTTGCTTTTAACACTACAATTGACATGTACATGTCCTGGTTAATCTGCTTTGGATTATTTCTTTGAACTGTTTTTCCAGGGTGTAACAATTGTACAGCATACATGTTTAATGATTTAAAAAAAACAACAACAACAAAAAAAAAAACAAGAACTGAGTGCAAATCACTCTTTTTGGCAGAAATGGTAGAGGTTATTTAATTGGTTGATTGAGACATCTTTTAAGCAAATTTCAATGAGATGAGTTCGGGAATTTGGGAAGGCCATTCCAGTTGCTTAAGGTTAATCTACTTTATTTATTCCAAAACCAGTTTTGACGTGTTTGGGATCATTTTCCTGTTGAAACACCGAACGGTGTCCAAGTTTCAACCATTTAGCTGATGATGTGAGGTGAATTTGAAGAATTTGGAGGCAATCCTCCTTCTTTCTTATTCCATCTACTTTGTACAATGTACCGGTACCACTAGCAGCAACACAGCCCCAGAGCATGATGGCCACCACCGTGCTTGACAGATGGTACAATGTTCTTAGGTTTGAAAGCCTTACCTTTAACTCTTCAACCATCCCGCTTCTCATTATATCCAAAGAGTTTAATGTTTGTCTCATCTGACCGTCTTATTTTTCTCCAGAAGGCATTTGACTGGTCCATATGGACAGCTGCAAAAAAGAGTTTATTTTGGAGCAGGAGCTTCCTTCTTGGTCGGCACCCTCTCTGTACATGGTGATTTAAAACTCACTTCACCATGGACAATGATGCTGGTCTTCCAGCAGTTTCCAGTTAATGTCAGGCTTGATGCTTGGTGATTCCTGGGTTGTTCCAGAACATCCTTACCAATTTCCTCTCATCAGAGGGAAACTGTCTTTGCCCAAACTGACCCAAATTGCCTTTGCCAAGACAGTTTGGGTCTTTGCCCGCATCTTGGCAAATTAATAATGCATCCAAATAACTTGTACATACATAAAGTTGTTTTAAGTGATGATTTTGGATTAAGCAGTTGTTTTAGAAATGGCTCCAAGAGACCTTACTTGTGTGAATCTACAGTTCTCCTTGTTAGATTTCACTGAGTTCCTTGGAGTTTCCTATTGTTCTGAGTATTGGTCAGTCCAATGGATGCTGCCAAACAAATCCTTTTTACGTTGCCAAAGATAAACTATCAGTTGTCATCAATCACGATCACAAACAAAAAGTTAAACAAGGGGTTAATAGGCCTTGGCATTGTTAAAAGACATTGTAGAACTTTCAGCACTACTTATTAAAAGATTGAATTAAGTGTGTGTTGACTCAAGGATTTGAGAAAATCCTAAATCAATTCAGAACTTGTGCACCCTGTTCTTGTTGTTTTGTTTTTTTTTGTTTTGTTTTTTTTTGTTGTTTTTTTTTAATCATTAAAGATGTATGCTGTACAATCATTCCACCCTGGAAAAGAAATCATTAAAAGTCCAAAATTATGATCACATTCATGCTCATAATTAGTACGTGTAAATGTTTGACTACAACTGTACATTGACTGATATATCTGGCTCTTCAGGTGGTTCACTGGGACCGTCAGGCTCCAGGAATTTCCCATGACCGAGCTGACCGGCTTGTGGACCTGTACGCCTCTGGGGAGCAGCGGAGCTATGGACCTCTGTTCCTTCAGAGGAAGATGAATATCAGCAATCACGCTTTCTCCGAAGGAGACTTCTCACTCACCATATCTGACCTGCAGGTGCGTATGTGTGAGCTTTTTAAAAGAGAGCTACTTAAACAAAAGTGGTATAGGCTCACTTCTCATGAGGTTCATCTGTGCTTTAACAAATCTGTGGTCCAATACTCTTGGCATAAAAGCATCTGCAAAAGCGTGTATTTGTGTGTATACATGTAAACAGTGTTTCCAGAACAGATGAAACTCTCATTAGTAATGCATCTCTTTTCAAGTCAAACTTTATTGCTCCATTGGGGAAAATGAGGTTTTAAACCACAATATGTTGGGCAACCAATGCAGTTTAAAAAAAAAAAAAAAACAATAGCAACAGTTATTGCCATTTGTTATAATAGCAAGCAGATCTCATAAATCATAAAATTTCATTTATATACAGGCTCGGGAAGCTTTAGGGAGCCGTTTTCTGGTCAGCTACAGAAAACAATAGGCAGATATTTTCAAAATTAACACAATTTTTTTTTCTCAGATATCAGTTGTGTGTAACGGCACAACTTCTCTGATGCATGAAAACAGATGTGTTTAACATGGGCCTAATTTCTTTCTTTTCTCTGTCTTACATACAGCTGTGGTCAGTCGTTTACATGCACTCATGAATGCTTTCTTTAAACTGTCCTGTGTTTCCAGCGTTTAATGACTGTACAACATGTAAAATCTTCAATAACTTTAAAAAAAGAAGATTTTGATGCACAAGTTTAAATTTATGTGGGATTTTCTTGAATTCACGGAGTGCCCTTAAAGGAGCTAAAACAGCTTGTTTCATACAGAGCATGAACTGAGGGGGTGTTTGAAAAAATTAGTATCAATAATTCACTGCTGACTCTTGCACAAATGTATTTTTGACAAATCCCAGATGTTGCTAAATTCTGCTGTTCAACTCTGTGGTGAACATAAACAAATTTGCCTGTTAGTTTATTGAGCAATATTGGGTTTTTTTAGTCTTGCACATGTGGGACCCAAGGAATTGATGGATATTAATAAGTTATGATTTTGTCATACATTTTTTCCCCTTTCTGGTGATTTGTAGTTAGTAGCATGGTTCAGCTGTTATTCTCACCATTATAAAGCCCAAAGATCCTTAGCTGACTACCCCAGTGTTTCGATTGCACTTTGGATCTGATGTAATGACTGTCATGATCGTTGTCAGGTAACGCTTTTAATTCATGGCCAAATTTGTGTCAGGAAACAATTTTTAAGGAGGTAGCGCAGGGAGAAAAGGCTAAGGTATGCCAAATTATAAAAGAACAGGGTTAGGAGAGGGGCACAACAGTGAGTATCTACAGCCATCTGTAAAACATGGTACAGCCTCTGTCATGGTTTCCTGCTGCATTTCAGCCAGTGGTGTTGGGAATCTTGTCAAAGACCCACAGATGTTATTGGACGGATCCATGATGCAATACATCTGGAAAGCATGACAATTATCCTAAACACACTGACGATGCAGTAAAAACATACCTGGATAGAAAAACGCCCAATGCAACACTATCAGTCATGGCCCAGACCTCAACATTATTGAAGCAGTGTTGGATCATTGTGGCCGAGAATAGAACAAAATACTGAAGACTACTTTAAAAAATGACCCAAAAAAAAGCTTAGAGAGTTCAGGTTGTGTTGAAGAATAATGGTGGTCATACTAAATATTGACTTTCAAGCTTATTAGAACTGTACAAACTGTTTTTGTCTTATGGTAAATGGCCTGTATTTGTATAGCACTTTACTAGTTCCTAAGGACCCCAAAGCGCTTTACACAACCAGTCATCCACACATTCACACACTCAAGCTACATTGTATTTTCTACTGTAATTTTACTAGCATTAATGATGCCACGCAAAATACTGCCAGATTGAGGATTTGCAGCTTGTAAATCATGTAATATTTTTTTCCAACATTTTTGAGCCTGTATCGATCTCTTGTTGAGTACAGAGGATAGCTAAAACACATTTAATCTCACAATCTAAGACCAAAATCTTTTTTTTAGATCAGGTCAGCCACTGGGATGGGCTTAGGTGGGGTGGCTGTTATAAAACTATCTAGCTACATTTGATTCCGGGCTTATTTTCTAGCCACGATTCATTACACAGTGAAAATAAAATATTGATGTGAAAAAAATCTTTAAAGAGAATTCAGTCTTTTAATAAACTTGGATTTAATTTAAATTCATTATATTTGTATAGTTCATATTGTTAATATTAATGCAGTTTGCACTGCTGCCCTTTGTACAATCTCGGTCCTATTTTTTAACTCTTCTTGGATATTTTCTGCCATTTGTCTGTCTGCTAACAACAACCCATTTTAGGGTTTTGACTTTCATATAGTTTAATGTGTATTTGTGTTCTGACAGCCAGCAGACCAGGGGCTGTATTCCTGCCACCTCCACCATCATTACTGCGGTCTCCATGAGAGAAGAGTATTTCAGGTCACAGTGGAGCCTTCGCTGGTTAAGCCAACAATGCCGGCTAAATCACTGCCCAGCGAAGACAAGGGTAACGCACAAACACACAAACACACAGTCTCTTTCTTCCTGCTCTTGTCAGCATGAGTATCTTAGCAGAGAGAATGTTTTATGACCTGGTGGATTTGAACTATCATGTGTACGATTAGGAGAAGGGGAAACATACACATCTGCTCTTTCATTCACTCATCCTGTCTTGTTTTGTCCTCATTCACTGACTCACACTCTACAAAATAAGTAGCAGCAGAGAAAGAAAAAAAGAAAGGGTGTGGGTGAAGAGACCCTCTTCTTTCTTGTACTGTCAGCTTCTTTGATGCCAGGCCTTTTAACCTCCACCAAAACCCTCTAAGCCTCACCCTCGCCACTTTTCACCTTTGTCTAAATTTCACATATGTGTGTAGTTGCACATTTAAGGTTTGTAGGGATTGCTTTGTCCACACAAATTTCTCAACTCTTTGCCTGGTCTAAAAAGTTCTTTCGTTGGGTGGACATCAGTAAAAGAGAAAAGACACAGTGGAGAGGAGGAGGGGTGTTTGGCATGATGCCTTGCCAGCAGCCTACCTCAAATTCTTCGATAATGAGAGAGTTTCTGGTGCATGGGTTTGTTTTTCCAGAAGGTAACTGAAGCAAAGTTGCTAATGGCACATGTATCAATGTGGGAAAATCATTGAGACGGCTTTAGAAATGCCTGTGGCTGAGTCCATCTGTGTGTGTAAATATGTGTGTGTGCCTAAAGTTCATGCCAAGAAGACCGATCTCATTTCAGTGGAATCTCTTGCATATAGTCACAGGACTGAAGTCCAGATCTGCCCACTCAATTAATCCTTTGCTCCCAGAGCTGTAATAATAAAGTAGGATTTTATCCACGGGAATGGTGCTGGTTTATCTGTTTTGTTGCCTGCTCCTCTGCACTCTCAGACATTACAGTAGTCTACTGCAGTATTATGTATTCTTATCTCTCTCGTTTCGCCCCCTCTGGCTGTCTGCTGCCGTGTTGACTTTGGCTCTTTCCACGCATTCAGCAAGAATTTGTCTCACTCCTTACCCCACTTTTGTTTGCATCTGCCGGGTCCTTCTTATTTTTCTGCTTTGATGAGCTCGCCTGACTTTTTCCCTTCACATACAAAGAAAGGAGCCATTTTCTGCAGCTTTTGGACAAGAACAGGAAGCGTGCCTCATCTGCAAAACAGCTGGTCACACAAGAAGAAAGTCAAACTGAAAGGTAGACAGAGGGAGAAAGAGCAAGAGAGGAAAGAAGAACAAGAAGGGAGCGAGGAATTTGTTGATGAAATGGGGTCGATGAGATGTAGGTCACCCTTTCCCTCCCTCCCTCCTTCCCTCCCATTAGAGTTATTTATCCGTGGAGTTTTAGCACCGTCATTGCGGCCAGTTTGAATACAAACACACGTTCTCATGTCAGGGGAGGAAAAAAGTCTTTATAAAACAATCAGAGGATTTATAACGTCGATGTGTTTTGTTTTTATGTTTTCTTTTTTGTGGCCATGTGATGTGTTTGGGATGTCTGCTAGAAATCTTTTCTAGCTTTATTCTGCGAGGCATACCTCTGGAGAAACATCTCATCGTCTCCTTCCTCTCCCTCGGCTCTCACTGCTTCCTTCATTTCTCTTGCGCTTGTCGCTTTTCTGTGTTTTACTGCCAGGAAAAGTAAATCAGAGCATGACAGTCTGGATCTCATTTTGGCTTTAATATGTTGAGTCTGAGGTCCGCAGCTGCCTCCTGCCTTGCACTTTTTTAACTCTTTTTTTTTTTTCTTCCTTATGAAGCTAAATGAAACCAGACTCGCCTTGATCCTCTCTTTGTCAACACTCAGCAGAACCGTGCTGAATAGAAAAAAGACGACTAATTATTTCTCACTTCCATAACGTGTTTTGCATGTCGTACAGCAGGAAATCTAGTACAACATTTGTAGGAAGAAAAAAAAAAAAAGGAGGTCTCATGTGAGCCATGCCACCAGATGTACCAGCAAGGAGAGCGTGTCTTTATGGTGTAAACACAAAATACGTCTCAGCAGAAATCTGTGTTTTTTTTTTTTTCTTTTTCCTCCAAGTCTTTAGCCGGTACACTGTCCAAAACAAAAAACAATGCGACACTCACGACAGGAGTAATGTCTGTTCTAATGGAAGCTCCGGTCTTGTTTACTACATCTGTAAACCACGTAATGACACACCAGTTTGTTTGTGAGGGAAAAGATGAAGAACAGATGAAAAAGAAATGCTGACTGCTGTCACTCTTCTATTGCTCAGAGACAGCTAAGGCTGAATCACCGCGAGTCATCACCGTCATCCTGCCCGAGCAAAGGCACCACTTTCTCCTGCCTCTGGGCTACGTCCTCACCTCCTTCCTGCTCCTGGCTTTTGTTGTCCTCATCATCGTCGTCATCGTACGACGACGCACGACCAAAGGTGTGAAGCTGACGGCTGATTTCAGATAAATCACTCAAAATCTGCTTTTTTTCCCCCTTCTTTTGAATCTCATTAAATGTTCTTGTGTTTGCAGAAATGTATCCTCAGTCGTATATGGGGTGAGTGCTGACAATACACACAGACACACACACATATAACTGCTTTCTTCACCCACGTGTGTCCTCCTCACTGTGATAGGTCCAGCAGAAGTCAGAGCTGCTCAGATGAGTTTGAGATGGACGTTACTGAGGTAAATGTGTGCAGCCCGGAGGAAAGAAGATTCGGTGAGTTAAGAGAAAGAAAAGAGTGGAGTGTAAAAAAATACTGGTTCATCTCTCAGATGGGATTATATGTGGTCTTTCTGTGTTTAGACTACAAGAACAACCTGCTGAAAGAAAAAGCCCACGTGAAAACTCAGCCAAAATTCATTGATCTCGACAAAGGTACGCAGACACATGCAAACATCTATCATGAATCACCTGACACTCTCTTCCTCAAACTCAATCCATCTTTCTTTCTTGCAGAGATGCAGAAGTTCTCTAAGTGAAATAAAAGAAGTGGAACTGGAGTCACTGGCTGGTCCAGAGGCTGCGCTCCAAGCTAAACACCTCCATACCGTCTTCTGTCCTGTCAGGAGAGATGCCGCTGAGAGAAACGCAGTGTTGCAAAAATCTGTGTTGTGACATTCAGAAAAAGAACACTGAAGTTTTGTGTTGCCAAATTGTAGATATTAGATACAAACAGGGCTGTGAAAAAGTATATGCCCCCTTCCTCATTTCTTAGTTTGTTTGTGTATTTGTCACACATGTTTTAGATCATCAAACAAATTTTACTATTAGACAAAGATAATCAGAGTAAATACAAAATCCAGTTTTTACATGGTGATTTCATTTATTAATTGGTTTAAAAAAGAAATATCCAAAAATGCTTTGGGATTCCAGTGAGCCAGAGTGAGAGCCATTATCCACAAACTGAGAAAACTTGGACCAGTGCTGAACCTTACTAGGAGTGGCTGGCCCACTAAGATTCCTCCAAGGGCGCATCGACAACTCAGGGCAACTCCAGGAGTTCACAAGAGAACCCAGTTCTTAGTTAAGGTCAGAGTTCATGATTCGACAATTGGGAAAAAAAATAATAAGACTGAGCAAAAATGGCATCCATGGGAGAGCACCAAGGAGAAAACCACAGCTGACTGAACACAACACAAAGTCTCATCTCACATTTGGAAAATATTCTGTGGACTAACATGACAAAGGCTGAACTTTTTGGAAGGTTTCAGTCCCGTTACATGTTGTGTAAAACTAAAACAGCATTTCATAAAGAGAACATGGTGGTGGCAGTGTTGGATAATCGATGGAACCATTAATTCTGCTCTCTACCTAAAAATCCCGTCTGATCGTCAGTTCATGTTTTCGCAACAGGACAATGGTCCAAAACACACAAGCAAGGCCACCTCTGAAATATTTAAAAAAGTGTGGCCTAGTCAAAATCAGGACTTAAATCAGATTGAGATGCGTGGGCCAAAATTCCTCCTGTTTGATGATCTCAAACGTATAGCTGTGACAAATATGCAAAAAAAACCCTAAGAAATGAGGAAGAGGGCAAATTCTTTTTCACTGCACTAAGATTGACCTGACTGCGAAAGGAAGGAGAAATGTGTGCACAGATCGCACAGATCTGACTCACTTCTGAGTTGGTGAAGATAAAGTTCCAGCCTGAATCATTATTCCTTTAGTTAGAAAGTTTTTATGCTGATTTTGCTCTTTTCTTTTCCTCCCAAAAGCACCACTGAAGTGTTACCATAACTCTGCACTGCGTCCAGTAGCTGCTGACTAACTGTATGCTCACTCACCACCAAGCAGAATATGTGAAACGTTCTGTTTTGTATCCACGCTCTGATGCAGATATTTTTCATTGTATGAATGTAGGAGGCATGTTTCACAGCAGTTTCTCTTACCCTTTGTTGGACTAGTTAATGAAGATTTAGTCATGTTATAACCAGTATAGCAACCGTCTCACACAACTTCAAACAACGCAGTTAAATCAAAATACAAACCAGCTGGTTAAACAACGCTGTTGTAAATTCTCTGTCACTGCTGCTCTGTTACTGTGTGAAATCAAAATATTGCATTCAGCCAAGTGGCTCCTGGTACTTGCAGGGAGGCGTTTTTATTACAGTTAAAACCACAAAAAAATCTGGAAGGTGAAATTTTATTGTTTCCACGCTGTGTGAGAATAGATGTTTACCTTACTTTCTATTTTTCGGCCCATTATGGAAAAGGAAGTTAGAGAGCAGAAGTTCTTAGGCATTTAAAAACTCCTGGGTTTCTGCTTTCACTCGTCTGAGCAGATCTTGTACCCCGGTTTTATTATTATTATTATTGTAATATTCTGATGTTGCTTGCTGTATTTGTATTTGACGGCATCAACTTGATTTCTCTCGTGTGTTGTGCGCCCCCTAGCTTAGTCTGCATTAACTACTACAAAGTAAAATCCCAGCATTACAGTGTCTAAGACATAAAGGAGGACACTATCTTACTTGCAATACTGGGTGTGAATAACACTCCACTCTTAAAGAAAAATAGATTGCCGTTACATCTGCTGTGGCTTTTGCTTTTCTCAGTTACTCAGTTTGCCATGCTTGATACTAATTTAACTACCTATTGTTGTGTTGTACTGTACTGCTAATCCAGTAAAAATGAAAAACAAAAGACAGACTGTGTGTTGCTGTGTAGTTTCATTAGTTTGTTTTACCTATAACATAATCTCCAGGTCCAGTGGGGGGGTAAGGCAGCATTTCTAAGCCAGCAGATATGATCTCTCCAGCATTTCCTGCTCTGCCCAGGAGTCTCCTCAAATGACAAAATATCAAATTCAACTTTAAAAATTCAAACATGAAATTTAGGAGGAAGGTCTTCTTTAGTAAAAAAAAATAAAACAAAATCCAGAAGCATGAGTTTAATGTTACGTAAAAACTTGACTGACACTCATGTCGAACTGCAATTTAGGTTTTATCTCATTTATTCATTCCTTTGTGTCACAAACAGTCCCTGAATTCAAGACAAATGGCTTTTTATACACTTTGTGAAGTTCATTTTGTGTACATTTCCTATAAAACACATGATACTGTTATATACTTTCAATCTAAAAACGGTAGAAAACCACGGTGTGTCTTGCACTGTTGGACAAGTGTATCGAAAGAAGCAGCTCGCAGTCGGCCGGCACGCACACTTTTACACATCCACAAGCTCACCTGTGATTTAAATTCAGTACAGGAAGAAGAAAAGAAACATTCACAGAACTACAACAGGCTAGTTAGTTCTTCCCGGTCTCCCTTTCATACAAACATACATCCAATCAGGCAGACAGCTGCAGGGTATAGAAGGAAATTCATTTACTTAGTAAACACAAGATGAGCGGAAATTTGGGGCCACACTGTGTTTGTTTACAATTAAGAGGTAAGCTACAGGTATTACAGGGCGATGACCGGGCAGGATAGGTGGGTGGAAAAAGGACTTGCTACAGGAAGTTTTGAGTAACGGGCTAGATGTGTCTTCTAGCACCAAGTTTAATTTGAAATGATCAGAATGCTGAAGCTGATGCTCTGAAGGCCCATTCTTATTCCTAGGACATCATACATGCTTGATTGCAATGTAGGGCTAACGCTGAGAACCCAAAAGCACAATCTTCACCTAAACTTTACCAAGAACCTTTTGGTTTCCAAAGCTTTCAAATAGGACACAAACCACAGCCTTCTAAAGCAGATATTATTACTCTGTACAAGTTACACAAAGAACACCTTGTGTTTATGTCCACATTGCCAGAACAACAGTATATGATACCCTGGGATGAGAACGCTTTGAAGGAAACAAGCCTACGGAACAAGAGTGTAAATTCCAGTAACAACACCATATTCAAATCTGGGCGTCCTAAAACAGAAAAGCAGCAAATTTGTTTTTATCTTAGTGTCCCTCAGTAGGGACACAAAAAAATCACAATGTCTTAATTATGTCACCGAAGGAGCTGATGTAGTACACATACTGTACATCCTGGACTCAGTGTTACTGGAGAAGAGTTTGACGTATGTTCTGATACTCTGGGCCAGCACCTTCTTCATCTTCCCAGCCAGTCACTCCTGTTCTACAGACCAGGTGTACACACAGTGCTCATGTTTATCCCAGGGCACTTTTCATATATGGTTCATAGATCTGAACAGTCTTAAATACAGCCTAAACCCCCCTCCTTAGGGGCTCTATTAACACAAAAGGAAAAATGTAATATTCATGGTCCAATAAGAACAGCCACATTAAGCAGACTGAAAGAAAATGCCCATCTCTCGCCTCCCCTGTTCCTTAGGGCCTGGTCCAGCCTCTGCTACCTTTATTAAACATATTAGATTTTACACTAAAGCACAGGGATCCACTCCTTCAGACTGGTCAAAAGAGATGCACGGTGAGAGTTGTTGAGGTTACTGACAGGGCTGGCACACTGTAAACCTGATGGTGGGTGATTTCTGGTCAGAGTTCTCAAGTGTCAACCACGAGTCCGATCGGGTCATGCTGAGGGCTCTCCAGAAGTGAGGAACTGTCAGGTGCAGCCGGGTGAGTGGGGTGGGACATGCCTGCACCTGAGCTGCAGCTCACACAACCCTGAGAGAGACAGCAACGCATTAAACACACGGTCACAGGAAACGAAAACAAAAATGTTCACAGTGCGTGATTCCTGCCGATACCTGTGTGTCTATTTCCTGTGGGATGGCGTGCTGTTTGATCCATGGATGGACTTCAGCCAGCTCCTCTCTCTGCTCTTGGCTGAACCAGGGCTGGAGGGGCTGAAGCACTCGAAGCTTCTCCCTGTCCTCCGCCAAAACCTTGTTCTGGTCCCTGCGGGGAGAGAAAGCATGAGATGATAAAGGATGATGAAGAAAAGGTAAAGGGCATGAAGATGAACTGTCTCCCCCATGTGTGACAAAAGTGGTATTGCACAGGAGTGATTCTCACACCTGTGAGGGGCATATTTGTTTGGGTTTCTAAATAGTATGGCACGTCGACTGTCAATAGAAAATTGTACTTAGTAGTCAGTATAATCTTTTAATGATATAAGTTTGCATATGGTAGAATACTGCAATGTAATCATTTGTGTTTAGAAGTATATAGTTGGTGGCATATTGAAAGAATGTCTCATGCTAGGAGGTCTGTAACAACTTTGTGTACATTCCAGGGTGTTCTGGCATTCACCCCCACATCCTAGGAGCATGGGAAAGGTCGTACCTTGTTTTATTGTTTTACGGTAGGATTAACGTAGCTATGTCAGTTTTAGTGTAAGTGCCTTTTTTACATATAGATGAACTGTTGAATTTTCCAGACCAGCAGGTTAAGGGAAGTTGTTTATGGGGACGGACGGACACACACACACACACACACACTCCAATGTAAGGAACAAGCACCCACTTTGAGGGAATGCAAAGAAGTGACCTAAGTTTATCAGAATGGAAACCAACATGATCTTTTTGCTTTTAAAGGTGGATTAAAGAGATACCACTTCCTGCTAAACTGAAGGGATTCCGTGTAGAAAAGGCAGTTCATAGTCTCTGAGGCTGATTCATGCTGCTCTGTGGTATGCTTTTGGTTTACATCTTTTCACCCATTGCTTGTCTTCTTGTTTGTGCTTTTGTAAAAAAGTTAAATAATAATAAATAAAACATGTATAAAGCATAAGAAGTCCATCTAACTGGTATAAATATAAATAAGCACAGTACTGTGAAGACGGCTTTGGTGTTTATTGTACTCCCGGATTAGATAATAACATTACATAATCAAATCAGCAGGTAGCCCTTTTGCTGTACCATTTGGCTTTGAATAAGCGAAGCCATCAGACAAAAAGACTAAATACCTTGCCACATTAAACAAGGTGAGACATTTAGATAAGATGACAGTGTTTGAGAATCATGAAAATGACTGTTATAAAGAACAAAAGAAACAACACTTGCACATGTTTTGACTTTATGAGCCTCATAAAAGCCTCACCTTTAACCTTACTGTGCTTAGTCAACTAGTGAGTATAATCCTCACTTTATATTGAAGATAAATGATTTGTACAAATCACAAAGCACCAGGTTTCAAAGGCCACTGTGAAAGCATCACAGGGGGGGGGGGAAAGCAATGCTGATATACACTGAACAGGCTGACATTATTTCTGGCCATGCTTGCATTAGTTACTTTTGCACCTTTGTTACTATAAAACAGAACGCATTTGCAACTGTAAATCAAACTTGAGAGCTCGATCGCAAATGGATTACACTGACTTCAAATGTGGCTCTAAAATGTGATTTGTGAATCCTAAAGCTTAGAAACTTTTTTGAAAAGTAGGCGGGACCCACACTGAAAGATGTACTCTCTGTTGGCCAGACTCGATTGGAGGGACAGCTTGGAAATATCTACAGTTTATAAACGAGATGGGTAATGGGTTGAACAAATACACATTTCTGTTAATCTTTAACTGGAACTGGATTTACATTTTCATCAGAAAGTCATCTTGCATTAAAAATTGTTTAAAGAAAAAAAAAAAACTGAGCGAGGTGTTCAGAGTTTGCTCTGAAAATGACAAGAAAGACACAAAAGTAATTCCACACACAAATCTGTAATGCCAAAATAGCTTTTCTCAAGAATGTGTTTCCCTTTTATCCATTATTAATTAAGTGTATTGGTGTACCTGGTGTGGATCTGGTATGTCATCATGACACGCTCGGGCGTGTGCTGGATCATGCTCCACAGGGAGTTTTCCGACTGATTCTCGAAGGTGTGTTTGTGCTCTGCCAGGGTCTCCTGACTCTTACGAGCTTTGCGTGACGTGTCCGATGAATCGTTGCTGGCAAAGTATTTACTGCTGTTGCTGCTGCCTGTAACCCAGGGAAAAATTCATTCACATCCTTCCATCCTACTCTTAACTGAAAATGTTGTTCCTCTGTTTTGCATTTGCATGGCATTCTTTTACTTGTTTGCATCATGCAGCAAAATTTAGAAGCTTGGTGTACACGGACATTGGAAACTGAAAGTCAACAAAACTATAACAACTAGACTTATGCTTTACAAATATGGTACAAAAAAGGCAGTTTTTGCAAGAATTGCATGCATGCATATTGCCTTTCTTACCAGTGTGTGAAGTAGAGGTTCCATTGGAGCCAGATCCAGACCCCAGTGAGCCTCCAGACTCCCCTGATCCAGACCCTGAGGCATTGGAGCCAGTCCCTGACCTGGCGTCCTCCTGAAGCAGTAAGTCAAGGAGCTCGCTGGATGTTGACTGGGCATCATGGTTGCCAGACTCTCCTGCGACATCACGCTAATCATAAAAAAGATGGTCAGAAATCAGTCAGCAATTTAGAGTGAGAAAACTATCAGACCTATACTCAACCCATACCTGTTATAAAAGGTGGTCGATTGACTCACCTCATTGGCATGTTGTTCATGGAGGCTCTCGGCGTGGTTGTGCCCGGTGCTGCTCTGCCCTTCACTCGGTTTGGGCAGTTCTTCCTGCAGCAGATTGAGCTGCAGTGGAGAACTTGAGCGAGAACTAGAGAACAAAGCTGTAGGCCCAGCCGCTTCCTCTTCTTCGCCGACAGATGAACTCGCTCTGGGTGAGCAAAGTAAAAGGCCTGGGGATGTTTGAGAATGGGGACCAGGCTGGGCCTGGAACTGAGGCTGAGGGAAAGGTGCACTGACAGGGGCATACCCTGTCATAGTGATGGGTATTTGGGGAAGTATAGACTGAGCTGACTGTGGATAAATGGATGGGTAACCTGGGGTAAAAGTGGGGTAGTTGGGCAGGATGACAGCCATGACTGGAGCCATGAAAGAAGGGTTGAAGGTCTGTGTTGGAGCTATGGGTTGCAGGTTGTGAAAGTTTTGGGTATTCTGAACATTCTGAATGGTCTCCATTTGGATTTGCTGCATGCCTGGCAGGCTCTGAGTAGGTTGCATTATGTTGAAGTTGTAGCTGAGCTGGTCAGGAGGCTGGAGCCCCGTAGGAGCTGCTCCAGGCAGCTGTTGTGTCCTGGGTGATTGCTCCGGGGCAGGCTTCCCCATCACAGGAAAGAATGGCACCTGGACTGGAGATGTTTGGCTGTAGGGTGCTCCCACCTGGGGCTGGGAGGACTCTGAGGAGGGCCATGAGGAGTCAGGGACACAGCGAGCGGGTTCAGGAGGGGAGGCATAGCTGTCTGACGAACCCTGGGGTTTGGGACGCTTGTGTCTTGGCTTCCCTTTTCGAGAACGATTCCAACCTCCGGCACTCAGTGGACGCAGGTAGTCTCCTGCAGTGAATGTATAGAAATCATAGAATCTAATTAAAGTTGCACAAAAATTTGCACCAACACTTTGTCAGATTTCAAAACATCAGCTGCGTTGCTAAAGAAATATTCAACAAACCTGGGTGGTGGGAGTGAGCCAAAGAGCTGTTGTCCAGCTGCAGATATGAGCTATAAGGGCTCTGAAGGATGCGATGGCGGAATCGATCCACATATTCTTGCTCCTCCTTCTGGGTGTGAGCTGACAGCACCTCCTTGGTGAGACCAACAAACCTTCTTTCCTCTGCGGCAGGGCTCGGAGCTCGACGGACAGGGGTTGGGGCAGGATCAGCAGGCTCACTGCCCATCGGGGCATCCTCCAGTGCTGTGGCTTCTGACAGAAAAACATGGGGGGGGCAGTGTCAAAAGAAAGCACTAAATGTTTCTCTGTGTGCAAAACTCCTGAGAGAGAAAAAAAGAAGAAAAAAGAAGCATCTGAGCAGGTCTCACTCATGATATAAGACTATGTTTATATACCTGACTCAGGCTGTGGCACGTGCACTATGGTACTGCTGTATGAACACTGGCTGGTGACCGAGACAACACTCATGGCTTTAGTAGACATGGTGATGTCTGTCAAAGGTGCCCCGACTACAGCTGGGGTTGGAGGGCTCACTGACACCTCAGTCTCCACCACGACTGCTGAAAAGTGAGAAAAAACAAACGCCAGGAGCAAAACGAGTTTATATGACAGAAACATTGCAGACTTTCACCCTACAAGTAACAGAATGCTAAGCCATGTGCTGTGTGTGGGTTTATACCATCTGAACTCTCCTGAGCTGTGTCAGTGGCTCCTGCAGGCTTGTCATCTTCTGAGGTAGAGGATGAGGAAGAAGAGGTAACCAAGGAATGAGATTCACTCTTCCGCTTGAGGGCTGGACCTGTACAGCTCTCTAAATATCTGGTTACACACAAGAAACGTGCGCAAACCAACAGGGAAAGCAGGAGTCAATATTATGACAAGGACTGAGTGCTGCAGAAAAAAAAAGTCATGTTTATCGGCACACACCTGATGATGTTATCCACACAGTTGATTTGCTGATAGGAGGGAATGTGTGTTTGTTTCCTGCTCGCTTTGTGCTCTCTGACCTCAGCATTGGAGGCTGCAGGGGGTAGAGGAGCTGGCAAAATAAACAGCCAACATTTAAAATATCTGCCAATTTTAAAAAACACATTTTAACTGTTTTGTACTCAGTGGATGTGAAACTGTGATACCTGTGACACGTTTTCCAAGGAAAGCAATTTTGTGGTTGGAATCCAGATAAGCCTGCTGGCCCCAACTCTTCACTCTGTTTACATCAGCACATATCTGCTGTAAAGTCATCTGGAAAACACAAACAGACGAACACAGCACCCCCCAAAAAAGTGCATGATTAACCAAGGCAATAGATAGTTAGGCAACTGCGTGACATGTGAATTCCTGGATGATGACCTCACTGTGATGTCTTACCGGTTCCCGGTGTGAGTCCTCCCATACGTTGCCATTGCTGTCACTTGAAGATGCAATGCTGATGTAGTGCTCGTGAGAGCCGTTGCTGCCTAAACTACCATAACCACTGGAGCCATTGTTGTGAACGGGCTGTAAAGAAGAGACACAAAGAAGAACAGATTAATGCTGCTGTTTAACAGATTAAACAGATATTAATGCTTCTTTTTTCAGCCTGTGTACAGCAACCAAAAAGCAAAAACCACACATACTACAACTCCAACCCATTTAGTATGAATAATTTTTTCCTTTTTCTGACAGGACTGAAACATGATCAGCTTTTATATGTTATTACACTGATACCAGCATGATACCAGCACCTTTGTTGCATTACAGCAACAAAGGATTTAAAGTGAGTGCTTTCTGGAATTCATTTATTCAGCAATGACATATTCACCTGTAGGAAAAGCTTATAGATCTTTGCCTGAAGATCTTTTATTTCCTCGTGAGTTACTGGAACAAACTCCTTTGCTTTAGCAGCAAACACATCCTCATTCAGAGGACTCCTGTAGGCAAAGGCAGTAAACAGAGTGATGTTATCTTTGTTACTGCGTCATTCATGTAATCGCACACCGTTTTCACAGAAACCCAGGGGGATTACACAACAGACACCAAACTCTACACCTCAGCACACATTTTTGTCGTCTTGGGGTTTAGATTTTATGCTTATGGAACCTACGTCCTGACTTTGTGGCGCCCGATGATGAAGGCCACCTTCCGGCTCCATGGGTTGATGAAGCTGGACCAGCTGGTGTCCAAGGTGATGTAGTCTCCATTCTGACAGCGCAGACGCACGGGAGAATGTTCAAATGGAGGCTGGCCCGCATGCTTCAAGACTAAGCAAGGCATGAAGAATAAATAAATAAATAAATAAAATATATGACAAAAATATAGTCACGGTAAAAAGAAATTACTGTCAATTCTAAAGATTTGTATTAGGACATAATAATAAAAATATTATGATATTTAAACTGTTTCATTATTTATTTAGTACTAAAATAAGCCAAAACGCTGAAGCAGTGTGTTAAAAACTAAATATATCCCATGATTCAATAGCTTTTAGAGCCACCTTTAGCAGCAATAACTTGAAGTAATAATTTTCTGTATGATGTGAGAAACTTTATCAGTCTCTCAAATCCTTGTGGAGGAATTTTGACCCACTCCTCTTTCTAGTGTTGCTTCACTTCATTGAGGTTTGTGGTATTTGTTTATGTATGTATTAACCAAGGGAAAGCATTTCAGTCAGGTTGAGGTCTGGACAATTGCAACACACTGATTCTTTTCTTTTTCAGACAGGCTGTTGTAGTTATTCTGCTTACACGTGCCCTCACAAATGACTGTAGAATACATTGCAGTCCATTAACTCCTATGCATACCGAAGTGTTCAGGTCCTGTGGCTGCAACACAAGCTTAAGTGATCACCCCCACCCGGCCCCATTACCGTGCTTTACAGTTTGTATGAGGCATTTGTGCTGATATGCTCTGTTCATGCTGTCCAAACATGGCGTTATGGCCAAACACCTCAATTTTTGGTCTCATTTGTCCCAAGGAGTCCTGTGGTTTGTTCTATTCTGCGAACCTAAACTGTGCTACGTTGTTCTTTTTAGAGGGAAGAAGCATTCTCCTGGCAACCCAACTACATAAGCCATACTTGTTCAGTCTTTGTCTAATTGTCCTGTCATGAACTTTAACATTTAAAATGCTAACTGAGGCCTGTGGAGTCTGGGAAGTTCACTCCTGGAAAGACTGGCAAATGTTTGCAATGTTTTCCACTTGAATGTGAATAGTATTTCACACTGCAGAATGATGGAATTCCAATTGCTTGGGAAAAGGCTAATAATCCTTCTTTAAGATCACTGCTGATGTCATTTCTCCTCTGCATCATGTTAACGGATATGTTAACACTCCAGACCACCAAACTGCCCAAATGTCTGCTTTCATAGAGCTGCTCACATTTGCTGATGATCACTTGATCAAGAGCAGCACCCTGGTTTCTACTTATTCTCTCAACTACAGTACTATGGAAGAAGTAAGAGCACTTAGTTTTTCAAACACTGCTTTTGCATTTTCCCCTAATTTTTGTTAATTATGACATACTGTATTATTTAACTTGCTGTTGATCACCTCAGGTTGATCTTTGTCTAATAAATTAATTAATTTTTATAATGTCATGAAAGGTAAAATCTTATAATTTCAAAGCGTGTGTAAATGCTTAGGATAAACACCTTGCTTTGGTTGATTAATTTACTACTACTAGCTATTTTATTATTTGTCTGGCATTTTGTACAGTATAATGAAAACGAGAATATCTATCTATTTAAATATACAATTTGAGTCAGCTCATTGAAATGCAGAGTTTTCTTATCAGCAGACTAAACTTTTGCACTCATCCTCCCCACAAACTCACCTTTCCGGTGCATGGCCAGCATGAGGGGGCGGTCCTCTGGGTGAATGCAAGTCAGCAACGACGTGCCTATCAGATCCTGAGGAAGGTATCCAAGCAAAGGCACGGCCCTGTGAACAGTCACCATAAAAATCAGCTCTTTTCATACACTGCCATTAATTTTCAAAGCTTGGGACTGGAAATTTGTGTGTATTGACCTGTCATCAACTTCCAGAAACACACAACCAGGGGAGTGTGTTGTGGTAAAGATGCGCTTGTCCATGGGAATCCGAGGTGCTGCATACACAAATCATATAAACACCAGTGCAAAACATGAATAAACAGGGGTTATAAGTTCATCAGAAATACCAGAAGAGTTTCTCAGAAAGTGTTTGGGGTTATTATTATTGTTAAAATTGCATTGACCTATCAGAGCATCAAAGCTGCATGTTAAAAGACAAACACGGTATCATACCTTCATATCCAGAGATGATGCGTTCAGCCAGTGCCAGGCAGCACGGCTCCTCCTCCTCCCCACTGCTCCCAGATCCCTGCACCTTCAGCTGGTAGGGTGTTATCCGAAATGGGTTGTAACGCATCTCACCCTCACGATCCTTCCCACCCCTAAAACACACAAAACACAATAATCAAATCTGAATTTATTGTGATCAAAGATGAAAACAGGAAACGTTACCTGCACCAGTTTCAAACCCTAAAATAAAGATCTAATGAAAAATGAAAACAATTACTTCAAATTTCAATGATATCTATTGGTACAAGTTGATGACAGCTAATTTAATTCTTGTAAGAATGTGTGAAATGAATATTTTCTAGGGCTATGGAGGTACTTTCAGTCACAAGAGCTGATGGATAATCATGTTTGATTTGGCACACATTTTACACCAGAAGCCCCTCCTAACACAACCCTCATATTTATCCAGGCATGTGTCTCCTCCTGGTCTCAGACTGGGAATCTTTTGCACATAAAATTAATGTGTTAACCACTACACCATGGAGCGAGCACAGTTTCTACAAACACATTCATTAAAAAGCATGTATTGATGGAATTTCTTATAGAGGAAGAGTTGACAATCAGAACGAAACTTCATTACACCCTGCAGGAAATTTTGTAACAGCTGCATAAGCTTGTAGAAGTTACACAATTCTAATAATAAAAAAAACAACAATCATAATTTTAAAACCCTGAAATTATTGCAGTTTATAGTCTGGATACACAAGGGCAACATCAGATGTAGGGTTTAATGGAATCGAGCTCATATATTTTATTAAATGTGCATTAAAAAATGAATTATTGTTTAAGGAATTAAGGGATATGAAGAAAAAAAAAGTACTGACCTGATTCGGCAGAAGAAGGACTTGACCTGGGCACAATCGAACAAAACGCCAGCTACAGAGAAAAAGAAGCGAGAGAAGTCAGTTAGCCATATTCTCTTTCATTATTTCTGTTAAATACCCACTGAGACACTAGCATGTGCAAACTAACTTAAAAAACAAAAACAAAACTGTGCCGTCCCTGTGCCGTATTTTATTTATTTAATCTAAATAAATAAATAAAATACAGCACCTGTGTGCGAGTTGCTCCAAGGTGGCAAATGGGGTTGCGCAGTGTGTGAATAGAAGACGTTGACATCTTGGTGGAAGAGCAGCTCCACAAATTTGGCGGACTCCAGAAACTTCCTCTTGCAGCACAGGATGCTGGGAGCCTGCTCAGACGCGTAGAGGACGCGGCCGCTGGCCAGGGAGAAAACGACCACGAAGGAATCCTACAAACAGGTAAAGAGATGTACGCACCCAGAAAAACATGCACAAGCAAGCAAAGTCACAGACACACACAAAAGCAATAAACACACATACACTCACACACCCGCTCAGGAGTGAGGCAAAATAAATGTACATATGCATGTGTATTTGCATCTTTAAGACTGCCTCAAAACAGGATTTCAGAACAGCTCTAAACAAATGCTTAGTGGGTCCTATGACATCTTCAGTGATGCATTAAAAAAGGGACAATAACATCAGAACCTGTGACCTGTGCATCTAAGTTTGATGTGCATACCGTATTTTTAAGGGTGTGTTCTGAGGTGACTCTCTCCAGCTCTTCCAGGGTGCAAACAGTGGCATTTCTCCGCTCGTCCTGCCCATTTTGCATGAGCAGTTTATAGTATTCACTATTAGCTACAGGTGACAAACCAAGGCACACAAACAGTATCAGTATTTGGAGAAAAATAAATAGTGTTTTCTTAAGATTCTACATGGACTCTTCTGTATTTAGTCAGGTTACCTTGCACTTGTTTGACACAGTTGAGCGCGTAATGTAAGGCCTCCACAGTGCTGGCTTTGCTGCGGCTGCGTTTGTCTGATGGAAGCCTCTTTTTCATCTCAGCCACTGCATTCATCACCTCTCTGTGGTCCTGCCCTTTGCCAGCCTCTGCATGCTCACTGCTACATACACACAGAAACACATAAAAAGATAAGTATTTCTCACAGTTACTTAAGTAGTTAAGATTCACTCTGTCGGACATAGTTAGCATTTTTGTCACCATTATACCAGGAAGAGATCATAGCACAAATGCAGAACTTCAGGATCAGCTGGTAAAAAGCATCTTTCCAGTTTATTTTGGGAAACTCTGGCTTGTTTTCTTCTATGCCAAAATTCTTGCAACGCTGCAAGAAAGTTAAAACCCTGGCTGTTGTCACAGTGTGCTGTACTCCACTTGTCAGAGCCACATGCTAACAGTGTAGCAATAGTAATAGATAAAAAGCTCTCACATGCTGTTGTGGATTTTTACAGAAATTAGGGTCAGAAAGGCACCAGAGAAAGTCCCCAAAAAAGACTAAATGGTGAGAGCACATTGAGTTAAATACCTCTTAGCTGAAACTGAGGTGGATCCCGAAGCACTCCCAGGGCTGTGATTGGTTGATGAACACAGGTCGTGTGAACCACTCGCCATTTCTTCATCTTCCTGTCCCACCTCTCCACCTGAAACTCCACTTTCTTCACCCCCGAGGTGCTTGGACGTTTCCCTGCCGTTCTGCTTCCCGGACAACTCCTGCTCCACCTCTCCACCGTTCGCTGTGGCTGACGGCAATGCAGGCTCCTCCCCATGTAGTCTGCTGTCACCTCCTGGCATCACCACACTTTGGTCACACATCAATTATTTTTCTTTCCAGTTACAATAGTCGGTAAGTGTCTTCATATGTTCAACCAAAGGGAATGGGTTCCATGTGGTAACAATGAATTGACTTTCATTCAGTCAGTGCTGAATGTTGGATGAAGTGGTCTGTTTTTTCCACTGCAAACAGAAGAAAATAAACAAAAAGCCTGAGTTTAGTTATTATTGCATAGAAGGAATATGGAACAAATTTCCCACGTGTGGGACTAATCAAGTTTTATGTTATGCCAGAGGCAAGATTTAGGAAAATCAGTACAGGTAGTAGGGCTGTGCGATATGACCAAAATCCCATATCCCAATATAAGAAGTCTATCGTCCCGATAACGATATAAATCACAGAAATTTAACATTTTCTTTAAATTCTGTGAATCTCGGGCAGCTCGACTTGCGGGAAGTGTTTCCAGCTGCGCGTCATGTACCTGGAGTCGAGTGTTTTAACCAATGCATGAAACTATACATTTTTAGACATAAGTTGTAATGGCCGCCGTTTTCTTTGTGAGTATTTATTACACGGCGTGCTGCCGGGAAAAGCCTGTTCTAACGTTTGAGTCTAAGGTTTATTTTTTAGCACCTCGCGGCTCTTTTTTCTTCTCATCCATAAATAATCTGCTCTTTCAAGTGATTCAGTTTATTTTGAAAAGTCTCAACAGGATCTTGAGCTTTATTGTGAGAGGTTTATGTGGAACATAAACAAGCGGACACGCGATTGCTGTTACCGTCGTTGTTGCTAACCACAACGCATAAAAACAGGCTCTTGTCCGTCCGTAGTGTGGTTATATAAAATATAAGAGAAAGAGAGAACTTTACGAAATTAATATAGCCACTACAGTGACCATCAAAACGATGAAAGATATTGCCGTAAACAGTTTATTTTGCGACACCACGAAACAAACGATAGCGTAAAATGAAACGATAGACGTTTTCATATCGTACTACCTGTTAGGGCTGTTCGTTATATGGAACAGCCCTAACAAGTAGTACAACAGAAACACTTAACTTTATGAAAGCAGCTGTCTCTCAGTTAGGGCTGGGCTATATCATATCGTTCACGGTAATACCGGTGTAATGTTGGGCAACGATAAGAAAATGAAATATCGCGATAGAATATGGGTAAAACGCGCATGCGCAGTGCCTTTGTTTACATACGCACATGGCGGCGATGCAGAATGAGAAGCGTGAAAGTGGATCGTTAACAGAAACAGATGAACCAGAATTGTTTTGTAAAAATGCTGCAACTTCAGTGGTGTGGAACTGGTTTAGCTTTCATCTGTCAGATACACAACAAAGCACTATTTTTGGTAGCGCATGCTAGTGGGCCGTCGTTATTAAAATCAATCCTTTAATTTTTCTGAAAATCGACAGTGCCCCTTATAATCCCGTGTGCCTTATGTATGAATTCTGGTTGTGTTTACTGACCTCGAAACGATTTTATGTGGTACACGGCGCTCAAAAATCTGTCAAATGCTTCAGTACGACTTTGCTAAGCTACGAACCCGCACCGCTTGATGGATTGTCGGAGCATTACAGCTATCGTAGGCAGGCGCCTCGCGGAGTGATACATACTGTGCTTCAACATAATATTACCGTACTGTGTGCGTATAACCTCTTTTTAGGTTTTGTGGATATTATACATGGTTATGCTGAGGATATGTTGGCCAATTTCCACTGGAAATGCCTTTTGGTTAAACTGTCAGCAAGGAATTTGCATTTGCACTGTTAATTTTTTATAGAACTTTAATGCACTTAAAAAAGCTGCTTGTTTAAGTGCAAATACATTGATGGGTTTTTTTTGTTTTTGCACTAATAAAGTTGAGGAGTTGTAAAGTATTTTGTCTAGTTTCAATTATATCGTCAGTTATATCATTATTGCAAATTTTCAAATGTATATCGTGATAAATATTTTTGGTCATATCACCCTGCTCTACTCTCAGTCGTATAGACTCTCAATAAACACGTCCATCGATGTCTCATCAGGCAAGACGTGATAACATTTTTACCAAAGTAAAATAAACGCCAAATATATAAGTTTTCCAAGTTCACTTAGCTTTTTATTTTCAAAAGCCTTGTTGTTATTTTCTTTTTGGTACATGTTTTTTTCCACATCTAGTTTCAGTTTGTAGCTTAGTTTAAGTAAACTGTAGTAAACTTAATCTCATTTATGAGGAGCCAACTCTAAAACTGTATCTTACACCTTACAAATTGAAAACGTTCATGTTTAAACAGCGAAACGAAAGCGTTATTGTTGCAGATCTCAGCTGGCTTGGTCTCCGACCACCAATGACACTGAGGATCCTGTTCTTGCATTACTCCCACAAACACGTCCTTGTGTTAGTATTTCATTTCAGATTTAGCCAGTGAAAACATATTTTTAATAAAGTGTTGTGCAGTGACAGATCTTTTCTCTTACATTTTTCAACAGCACTTCTTGTTAAAGTGTGACTTTTTGGAAAAACTTTAACACTTCTGTAGGTAATCATTAAGTCAACCTACCTAATAAGCAACTGCTCATACTCCTATAGACAGATCATGCATGACACCTTAAAGGCCAATGCAATCTGGAAACAGGTAATCTTCAGCATGGCAAAATTCACGGTTGGCAATCGTGAAAGTTGGGAATTTTGCCAGTGAACCTTTTCTCAAATAAGTGGCAAAATGTCTTTCCAAAGATATTAACAGCATATGCAGAGAATCATCCAGAGTTGGAATCCCCATCCACCTCACATTCAATTCCTCTGCTTGTAGGATCATCCAATAATAAGCAAGTTGCTTTAAAGGGAGGGTTTCCTCCAATGAGAGGTAAAACAGCATGAGTCAAGGAGAATAAATTGAGGGCCTGAGGATTATGGTGAATTACAAATTTTAGAAAGCTACTACTAGCCTACAGTCCTAGAATAAAAATATAGAGCTAGAAATATATTCACATGTCCACTTTAAACTTGGGGCATGGGTGATGTGCCAAAGGCTTTAAAATTGGAAGCAAACACTTGTCTTCTTTTGAAAGTATGAACATGTTATTGCCAAACATAAACAAGTAAAAATGTTCTGTGCAAATGTGAACAAACACAATGTTATTTAATACTACTCAGCTGTCTGGCCATAAAAATGACTCACTGCGTTCTGACTCTCTCCCAGCATCCGTGATTTATGCACATCTCATCCATTAATACTGCCAAGACCAGGTAAGGCTCTGCCAGATATAATAATGTGATACTGGGTTACATAATAGCTGTTACTAATTATGCATTTACATTTTTTGCAATCCCTGCAAACGCAGGTTTTTTAAAAAATCAAACACTGTGATTCTATAGGCTGTTTTATCCAATATTTTCATCAGAGTCATCAGAGGAAATCGCTTGTCTTCCAGCCATCTTGGGCGAGTTTTTTCTCTATGGTATTGGTATAATTAAACAAACTCCAGCTGCCACCACATCCATATGGCATTGAGACTAGACACTGAGAATAAAGACAGAGGGACAGAAACTGAGAAGCAAAAGCAGGAGGGAGTGAAAATACCCTGCATCGTTCATCAGGTCGTCATAGGAGGATTACATAACCGATTTGCTCAATTCAGAATGCATAAAACATTATGCTATTGAGATATTATACATCTACTGACGTGCACAACACACACGTGTGATTGTAGTTGCATACATAGGATGCTGTGGTCCTTTCTCACTTATGCAGCACAACAACACACTTGACCTAGGCTGTTGCTCTGTACTTGAACCTGTATGCACACTGCAACACAGCTCAACACCATCACAGACTGCTTCCAGAGTCACCAAAAAAGCTAAGATAAGCTATTGCACAAGCAAAACTGAAACTCAACATTATTACCTGCTTTACAGGCTTTTTAAAAAAAAAAAAAAAAAAAAAAATTTGTTAACGTTTAGCAGAAGCCTACAACTTACTCCCCCTCACCATATGAACCCAGTGACCCAAGTAAGTCCAGAGGCCACCTCACAATGCTTGAAGGAGTGACAGCAACTCCACTCCGGTGGAAGCTATAGCACCACACCTGACTTGCCACTGGGCAGCTTCTAGTTTCAGTGAAGTCCCCTACCCAGAGTTATTACATAGCGCTTTATCTATCAAGACCTCTCATATACATTTTTAAAATTTCTATTTTATTTTTATTTAGTTCTTTTTCAATTAATTCTCATTAGTTTATTTTCAGTTTGTTTGGGTTTTTTGTGTGTGCCAGGTTTAGCTGGGTTGCTGTAATATACTGGGTATTTATCAGGGGCAATATCCGCAGTGTGTATAAAACCAGCACTGTCTATGGAAGTATCAGAAAGGTTCAGACAGTAAAATACAAACACAGCATTTAGTGAGGGCAATTAACTCACACTCATGTAATCATGCCAATCTCAATAATCATATGCACCCATGCCTCATCATGCCTGCTGTGTAAGCACATCTGGACAAAGCGAAAAAGCTAAAACTTAATGTACTTTAGTGTTAAGACCTTTTAACCGCCGTAAGAGTTCGGGTTGCTTGCTGAAAACAGCGCCCCCTACAGTAACTGGATACGAAGGTCGCAATAACGCAATAAACTGATAGCCTGTAAGCTACTGTATTAGCAAGTATAATAGGTTGCTTTTTAAGTAATGCACCGTATGCAAATCTGAGCAACAAAAGCTTTAGTTTGTTACCAACTTGCCAGCCAACACAGCGCAACCCGTGAGCTCCAGCCCCCTGACTTACGGCAGACGTTACAGCTAACATGAGCAACACACACTGCTTACAGTCAAGTCAGCATTCACTCCTTGGAGAAGCAAAAACCCCAAAACCACAATAATACACATTCGCAACGACTTTATAGCACACAAAAAAGGTAATGATTCAATTTCACATGTTCACATCCACTGTTGTGTATAGCTGAAGCCGTGCGTCAGGTGGTTAGCTAGTTTATCGAGAAAGCTAACTCACCAATGACGCCCCCAATTTTTCGTCTTTTGTTAGAATATTTACCTTTCCCGCTCCACGCGTGTCTTGGCTCAAGATTAAAAAGTTACGAGTCTCCTTAATTGATCACCGGACCGCATCAGAAATTATTTTGTTTCAGTTATATCTCAGTCACGTAGCTACGTCGTCATCCCTCCCAGAGCGGTGGACACATTTGTGCAACGTGAGCCCGGCATAGCAAAACCACGCCCATTAAGCGATGATTGGGCAGGTGAGTTTTACATGTATTATTGGATTGGATAGCAAACCAGATGTGGGCGTGTCTGCCGCGGCAGGTCTGTTGGGTGGCTTGCTGGCGATTCACGTGGATTCCCATGTTACACAACCGAGAAACAACAAGCCCGAAGCAGACTGCGCGAGCACTGACACTACCAGCCCGCTGGGTCCCCGCCCCTACCGCTAAATGAATGAACAGAGTCGTTGCATGGTCCAGCTGCTGCAGTGCACGTAGCAGGGAGTTTGGACATTTGACTTATTTTTGTTTGGTTAAATTGTTGTCAGTTATTGAACATCATCTTAGTAAAGTCTCTTAAGTAAAAAAAATAAAACATAAAAATTACAAGAAAACGGGAGCTATCAGTAATTTTAATAGATTTTGTCATTAAGCAAATGAAAAGGAAGGCAAAGAATGCCACACACTTGTATATCCTTATTCATTAATTTTAAATAATATTATTTTACATTATATTTTAAAATTTTGCAACAATAATATGCAATCTAATTATGCTCAGTTGGCATGTTGATTTTCTTTATGATACAATGACATTTGTTTGAAAGCACAAACAACACTTGAGCAGCTGTTATATATTATTTTACCACATCTTTATTGCAATTTGACTTTTTCAGTTAAATCTGCCTTTAAATTAAACCTGAATTGAAAATTTCCCAATTCTGTAAAACCAAAACAAAATAATAATAAAATATATAATCATTAGAACTGATGGGGGTTATCCTAAAGACCTGCAAGTGAGTGGAACTGAGATGGAAAAAAGAGGAAGGAAACATTTGGGGGGGGGAGAAAAAAAAAAAGAACTCAACAATACAGGGGTAAAATCTGCTGTACACCATTGTATGACACACTGAAGGAATTTATCTTTAAATGACTCCAATAAAAATGATTTTGCCATCATGGCTCCTTTTGGAAAAAGCAATAGCTGGAGTTTGTTACGTCACAGATGAGAAAAATCAGAGGACACTTTGATTTAACATCAGTTTTATTCAAGCAAAAATAAATTTAGGGCCCACGGAGCAGAATTGCACATATTTCCACGTACATTCCCAAAAGTGAAGCAAGGCTTGGAAGTTATAAGATCTTAAATTCCGTGGACAAAAAAGGAAAAAAAAAAAAAAAAGAAGAAGGATGAGGTTGACAATTCCATGTATGGTTAATAAAAAGCTGGCCCATAAAAGCATTTCCATGCCTACAAATTTTAGTTGTGGCTACAGTCTGATTAAACCTACATGCTTAACAAAAAAAAAGGGGGGGGGGAAAGAAAGGGGGTGCGGGTGAGTACATATTTGTGTTAGTGTTAATTTTGTTATCAGAAACACGCAAGAAGTATGAGGGGGGGGAAAAAAGCTAATGATTGCTAGAAGTCAAGAAAAAAAAAATCCTGAAACTGTAACCTAAAACAGGAGCTTTAAATACCAAACAGAGTGAAAATAATATACAAAGCAATCCCAAATCCAGTGTTAGTGTCACATGTATCACAATGCCATGGACCAACAAAATATTTCCACTCTATATCACCCATGATGCTCAGCAGTACTGACCTGAACATCACAAAAAACATACTATAGCCTAACTATGATCAACTCTACATTTAACAGAATGCAAATAATTGTATGACAAATATGGCATGTTAGAACTTTTAATTGTTTTGTGTTAGAAGCATTGTGCATCAACAAGAATGTTTCTTCACACTGGCGTTGATCCAAAGGTCTTTATTAAAGGTTAAATTCAACTGATAGCACAGGCTAGCTGCACAGTATCTGCTGGACAGGGAGCTCACAAGGCACTACTCGTTCTCTGGCTGGCTGGTACATGTGTTCAGAAGGTATGGCTGCATTTTTGGCTGTTCTCCATTGGAGACACCTATCAAAGTCTAAAGCTAAACTGCAGATTTTCTTTCTTCTTAATTGTTGATCATTATTATTACATAAAGGCCATTTTTCTGCCACACTTAAGAGCAACTAATTGAGATAATTCATCTCTTGATACCTCATGATGGCACTTCTGTGTGTGTAATTTTTTTTTTCCTTTTACATTTTATGGCAAATCTGTCAGGCAATGTGGATGCTACTTATAGTAAACATGATCAGCACTTAATCTAAACACAAGCTCATGCAAACTTACTGCATCCCAATTACTGCCTGAAAATGACATGAACAGGAATGGACACAGTGAGGTGGTTCAACAGTACGTTACCCATTACCAGTAAGCTTTGTGTTGTCAGAATGACTTTCCTCTTCATTCAGCTCTAACATTAACATTTTAAACATTGGACCTGATCAGCACTTAACCCTGTGCAGAAATAAAATGAGCAATTAGATTTCACTAATATTTGCAAAGCTGACCAATTAAGTAAGAAAAAGCATGAGAGAGGAAAAAAATACTGGTGTTACACTATCAAGAGCAGAAATATTTTAAATCTGGGAAGGGGCATCTCTTCCACCATACGCAGGATTACTGTTACAATCTAAACTATACCACTGAACAGCTAATCCTTAAAGGCACTTCTCTTAGCCTGGCACACGCAATCAAACAATTGTTAATAAAATAGAAAAATACAAGTTGAGGAGAGTTTACAATGTTCTTCAATTCTAGTCTTAAGGTTTGAGTATGTGTGTGTGTGTGTGTGTGTGTGTGTGTGTGTTCTGCCAAAGTCTGTTTAGACTCATATTTATAACTGGGATTTAGTCAAGTTATAAAGTTATCAATAAACACATTTCTGTACATATGTTTGTTTTCTTTGGTATGTGTATATCCTAGTAATGTCTGGAATTTTGTTATGTTATAGGTTAAAACTGTGACTAAGGCACATAAGCAATCACACACGCACACACAGGGCAATCCAGGACAAAGAATGAAGACCCCTGTAGAGGTGGAAAATGTGGAGCTACTCTGAGACACGAGTCACATAGCTCCACTTCTCTTCTTTATCGTGTCTTCTACCCCTCCTCCTCCTGTTGCTTACTTACGAGTAATTCCAGACTGTGAATGAATTAACAAGTTTGTTTAAACCAAATGTTTTATATAAGACATTATAAAAGAGAGATATGACACTAAAGGAACTGTGGGGGAATTCCATAAAGGCAAAAGACAGAGGCTGCATTATGTAATTGGGTGTACTTCTTCTTGGCTTACTGCATCCATAACATGAACTAGCATGAATAATGATGCGGGAATAGTGTGGATAGTAGATGTAAAACTTTAAGTAAATAAAGCTTTTTGAATGTTTGGGGGCAAAGTCCGTAAACTTTAAAACTCTTTTCTATCAGATAAGTCATCAAATCACACATCACATGATCTTGAACAGTTGATGTGTGTTTGCCTCTTAAAAGAGCACCAATGTAGCAGTACACCTAACACAGTTTGCAAAACTACAACACTGTAGAGAGTTCTTAATGCTTGGTTTTATGTTTGAAGTAACACAAACTGTAACAACACTGTTGATGAGCACACCCTTAATACTCACTAATAATGATGACGATGATGATCACAATGACAGCTATCAGGATCGCCCACATCTGAAACAATTAAAGATAATTTCTACACTATTACACAAAAACTATATCTGTAATACCTCCTCATTTTGTTGAATAAAAACAGGAAGTCTTCACCATAAGTCATGCAAATATATACTGTAAGTTGTGTAGTTAAATAAAAACAATTAATTTAGTAAACCTCAGTCTTTGAAGACTTTAAAAATAGAGTGCATCATATCAGTTAGAGTAATTGTTATTTAAAGTGGTGGAAAGTGTGTGACTTTTGAACCAAACTTTGTTTAAGCACCTTGCAGTTCTTCCACCAGTACTTCCTTTTCAGCTTAGCTGCACTGGTCTCAAACTGGGAGGCTCCAGCCTGGAGTGCATCGGCTCGGTCATCCAGTTCAGACAGCTTCTGATCACGTTCCAGCACTTTGTCCACATTAACACGCATAATGTCCACCACCTACTCAAAACATAAACATAATATACATTTTTTGCTATATCTATTTCTTGATGTACATGGGTGTTAGGCAATCTTGAGCCCTCACTGTAAATAAATCTGCCCTAATTTGTTTTTCTCTGGAGGGCACAGGAAAGAATCACAAGAGAAAGAAGAAAAATGCCAAATAAATAAATCAACAGGGTAAAATAACTCCTACAGACTCCACTTTTAGTCAGACACACATGCATGTGCATAAACACAGATTACACATAACCCATATGTTCCACTGATCCACAAACCCAACTACTGCCCCTCCCCTCAACCAGAGCTGCAGGTTGGAGGGGAGGGTGTAGGCCCGTGCATGTCTTACATAACCATGGAGACAGTGATTATGTAAACGTTTGGCAGCCAATTGGACACTTTCTGTGACGTGCTGAGGTTAAAGATCTATGAAGGAGTGGCTTATCCCGAGAGGAGCTACAACCGAGAGAGCGAGAGAGAGCAAGATGTAAAGGGAATTAAGAGTGAGACTTGGCAGCCTATTTTCTTAGTGGCCTCACTGACATGGTTCTGAATGCTATTTCTCAAAACTGGATGAGGACTGCCTTTCACTGAATGTCCTTTGGCAGTCTTTTGGAGTATTAGACAGCAAATTATTCCACATTATGGTGAATTGTAACACTGCTGCCAAGAGTTATGCAAGGTTCTGTGTGAGACCAACATCACGGAAAAGAGGGAGTGACACAAAGCAAGTGAAGACAGACAGGGGTGGAGTTCGAGGCCATGGGCTAGGTGAGAAAAATGATGCAAAGTGAACAAGATGAGGTTATTTAAGGATTTTTAATGCTTGAAAAGATTTTTTATTATTTGACACTGTAACTCCACCCACTATCTTTTCATTATTTAACTATTCACTCCTGGATTACGGCTGTGCTACTATGCCATTATTAAAAAATAAATAAATACAAATTGTTAATTTAATCTTTCTCTACTTGTATCTTCTCCTTTATTTGTGTACAGCTGGACTGGTACATAAGCATTTAATTAACCATATAACTGAGAAATGAACCTGAAATTGGAGATGAAGCAGCATTAAGGGCAGGCATCTTTTGAGAGGTGGTTTCAAATTTCTTAGCTTGAGAGGAAAAGATCTGGTGCATTTGTAACACTAAAGCGCTCATGAATTAAGATTTGAACATATTTGGGGGATCCTTATCAATAAGCCATAAGAGAATAGAACTGTGGGCCTCAAATAAAATTCTGAAATTAAATAGAAGCCAGTTTTCACATATTTCATACCTCATCCACCTGGGCCTGCGTCTGCTGCAAGCGCTTATTGCCGGCCGCTGCGGCAGAACCTTCTGGACCAACTGCTGACCTGAAGAAATTTACAAAAAAAACAAACAAAAAAAAACAAACAGTGTAAATCTTAGCCCCCTGTGAAATGTCTTAGAAACATCTGTTACATAACATCACAATCTCCCACTAAAACCTTAAAGGAAACCAGTCAGTTTTAGGTACAAGAAAAAAGAAAAAGAAAAACAGTCCTCTCAGAGGAAATTGCTTGATATAGCACCCAATCTGTGGGATAGCAAAAGGTCAACAGGAGTAACAGTTCATAGTGAGCTAAAACAGAACAATTCAGTGTCTCTGATTGGACACAACAGCCAGCCATGCACGCACAAAAAAATAAAATAAAAGTAATTAAAACACCTCACTGATGTTCCTCAACTCATGCTCCATTGTATCAACTGAGGATAGACAATAAGTGGCAGGAGATTATTTTTCATACAACAATAGACTTGACAGTGATGTGGCTTAAGTAAATGCTTGCCCAAAATAATGGTTTAAGTATATTCTTAACAGTTAAAAAGCTGACATCAGATAGCATGAAAAGCTATTCAAATAAGATGATGTCCCACACAATCCTGCTAAAATAGCAAGCATCAAATTTATTATTATCTGATGCATTTTAACTCGAAGAAACTGTTAAACAACAACAAAAATATAAACCGGAGACAACGCAAAAGGTTGTTCCTTCTGGTTCCCATTAATTTAATTTAAATAATTATTTATTTAGATTCCTAAATATGATATGCATTCATTGTCCCAATAGCTTTTTAACAGTGGTTATTTACTGCCACCCCCTGACCTGAAAGAGCATTGCTTTGCAATGACTTCTTGTAACACTGAAACTTGAAAGTTGGGTTGTTATTTACACCAGGGCTATACAAAGATTATTATGATTCAGTCTAAGTCAAGTGTGGCCATTAATTACATAAATTCTGACTCAGGCCAAATTACAATATTAGTTTAAATGTAAAACAGTTTAGGCAGATATAAGCAGTCTGCTGGCTGATATTACTGATTTGCCAATGCATTGTAGCAGTCTTTAAAAATAAAAGTAAAGAATAGATGGGAGAAACACCCTTAAAATATGTTATAAGTGTTAATGTTAGAGGATTTGTCAACGCAAGGGCATGTTGGTATTGATATTTGTTTTTTTTAAATCAACAAATCTGTCTGGCCCTAATAAGCAGGCACACCCATGTTTGCTAAAATATAGTTGATGCCAAGAGCTTGCTAAAACTACATGTGTTTATATTTTAAAAAAAAAAACAAACACAAAAAACAAACAATCCCCAAAACAAAACACAGGAACAAGCCGCAGTTAACTGAAACAGCATCTGTCTGGAAGCCAAAGGTACCCAGTTTCCTGAAGAAAAACAATCAATGATGTAAGTTATTCCAAAAGGAAGTCTATGTGAAATGGGTGGATTAAGTGCTTCTCCTCTATGCCCCCAAGATAACAACTTTACAGCCACGTCTAATTCACGTATATTTAAAAAGATAAACTATTTTGAATTTTGATTGCATGAATTTGATACAAATAAACATAAAAAACAAGCAAACTATTACAAACAAACTGTAGATATACATTTCCTGCAGCTGCTGCTAGTATCAAAACTACACTACAGCATCAGTGGTGGGCTTCATTCTCTAATATGTAAAATGGCTGGAACTTACCACAAGTACACACATAAAATTAGCCTCAGATTCATGTAATATTCACCGGAACCAATTGTGTTTGTACCATTGTGCATATGACTGTTTCATAATAATTTTAAATTGATGGTTGCCATCTACATACAGCCCACTTTCCTTTAAATGAAAACACATTTTTCTCAACGAGGGTCATGGCAAGAGCTGTGATTGCCTTTTTAAAAGAAAAAACAAAAAAAAACCCCAAAAAAACAAAAACATCTAATTTATGCAACTGGAAAAAAAAAAATGCTGGATCCCTTGGGGAATGTGTGGCTTGGTTAAAAACAAATTGATGTCTAACTAGGATACAATGAGGGTAGGTTTAATAAACAAATGCAGTAAACGCTTTTTCTTTTGTTTTGTTTGGTCTTTGTATTAGTGAAGAGCAAGTGGGTAAAGAGTGGATTACTAAATATGTGTTAGTTTAAAAAAAAAAAAAAAGAAAAAGAAAAAGAATTTGGTCAATACTTTTAATCGAACTCATTATTTTTATGTATTCAATTTCTGAATACATAAAAATGTATTGAGTACTGAGTTTCTATCTTTGACTTTTTTGGAAAAGCTGTAAATAACAATAATCGATTTTTATTCATTAATTAGTTTAGCAATGTGCATTGTGCGTCTATGTGTAGGTTTATGTAGTTTCACATTTGTGTTTAGGCATTACTTGTGCAAAGAGAGCAGCCTTTGTCATTGCGCCAGAGTTCATGTGAAGACTTTAGTTGAACTATGTAGGTCTGATACCATGTCTACACACACACACACACCTCTTTTCTACTAATGCTGTGCATGTGCCTAATCTACAACCACAGAAATAAATATAGGTGCAGGGCCAAAAAGCTGACACTCGCATGTCACCACTTTGCTGGTCCCAAATTGGGAACAAGTGATGACAGTGGCTTTTGAAGGTGTACCTAAAAAATTAACCAGATGCAGCCTAGGATCTTTTGTCCATTATGATTTTCCTTTCCATTTCAGTGAAACCAATTTAAGATAAATGAGGCTACAAGAGGGGCTGCCACGATTAGTCAACTAGTCACGATTACGTCGACTATTAAAATTGTTGACGACTAATTTAATAGTCGACGTGTCGTTTGAAGCTTTGTAAGATCCCAAAAGATGCAGGAATAAGTAGTAGGATTTAAGAGTGTAATAACAGACTGAAACAGAAGATGGCAGCACTGCATGTACAAGGATGCCAGCTGCATTTAAACCTCGAAGAAGAAGCAGCAGTGTCCGGTATCGTAGCTGTGTACAAATTCAGGAACTGCATCCTCTTGTGCCCGCATTTGTAGGCCGATTACGTTACAGCGACACGACAAAGACTGTCCAAATTCGAAGACTCCGACAAATGCATTCGACAAACGCGGCCTTCATTTCCCCAGATATGAAGGATGGGTTGGGTGTATACTTTGTGGTCCAACCTATCCCAGAATTCATAGTATGGCCCTGCTCAGTTTCCAACAATGGGGGCAGCTAGTTAGTTTTAATGTTACTCTTATTATCCTTTCTGGTCACAAAATAAACGTTTAACATATTTTCAGGCGAGAACGTAGCTGTGTAAACTTCAAATATCTGTTCAGTTTATCAAGACACCACATATTTTCAAAAGCGCTCCGACGTTTTCGGAGACGTCTGTTAGCCACCAGTTCGATAGCTAGCCCGGGGCAAGGCTTACTAGTTCCGGTGAGAATACCGGACTCCCGGCAAATAGTTTTCAAACCCACCGTTGTCTTTCGCTACTCAGGTTAAACATGATATAAGCAGTGTTGGGAAGGTTACTTTTAAAATGTATTCCATTACAGATTACATGCCCCAAAATGTATTCTGAAACGTATTCCGTTAGGTTACTCAATGAGAGTAACGTATTCTGAATACTTTGGATTACTTAATATATTATCATGCTTTTTACAACTACATGAATGTACTATTGCTGTGATTTATTACTGTTACTGAAGGTCCGCAGCTCCGAACCCATAGTAAAGGGACCTCTGACTAATACGGCGGGTTCTGTATCGGGCTCATAGCTGAAAAATAGCTTTACTTTGTTGTCTGGGTCAACTTTGCTTGCGAGAGACAGAGAGGCGTTGAAAGGCT